GGGCCGTTTGATGTCGAAAAGTGGTGATTTGGACTGGCCACCGCGTTCGCCCGATTTGACGCCGCCTGACTTCTTCTTGTGGGGATATTTGAAGTCAAAGGTTTACGTTAACAAGCCAAGGACCGTAGAAGAGCTCAATGACAACATTCGTGAAGAAATAGCCGCTATTCCGACCGAAATGTTGGCCAAAACGATGGAAAATGCAGTAAAGAGGGCACAATACGTCATCAACGTCAGAGGCGGCCATTTGAGAGATATCATATTCAAAAATTGATGTAAACAAATCTACTTGGAAAAAATTGAATGATTAACATTGCCAACCGCCAAATTTTTATTTTTTTCTTTGATTTAAAAAAAAAAAAAAAAAATAAAAAAACATGGGTCCGTCGAATATGGGCAACCCTGTATATACCTCTCAAAGTTCTAGAACAATAGTTTTGAAAATAAAGCAATTACGACTTACCTCTAATTTTCATTAGAAAATTCATAAATATTCCTTTAAATAAATTTGATATAATTCTTAAAATCCTATGTACTTATTGGAAATCATAGTCTCAGTTAAATAATTCTCAAAACATTAGACATCAAAATCTGTGTCTCTCAAAGTGGCTGACAAATAATTCGTAAAAATTATCCTAAAAACTCATAACTCTCATAAACATTGGAAAGGACATACTTAGATTGTTTCAAGAAAACTGAGCAATCCAACTAAAATAATCAAAAAGTTTATAAATTCAAAAAATCCACATTTCATTAATAATGTGGAAAAATTTATTTACAACTTTGATTACAATTGTTGTAGTTAACAAACATAATTATTTCTATGATTTATGAACACGACAGCTAATAAAAGTCCATTTATTGTATAAATATGAAAAACCACTAAAGAAAAACAAACCGGTAAAATCCTTTAAGACCGGAAGGAAACGCGGCCGAGGGTCAAATCAACAAACGAAAACATATGACACTTCCTTCATTTGGGCAGCAAGCCAATGCTGAACAAAAGGAAAATGATCCTTCTAAATGGAAAAACGAAAAAAATACACAAAACAAATGGTGTCCTGTGAAAGAAAAGACTATGAGAAAAATAGAAAATGTTTTGCTAATGACAAAATTATTTATTTGGACACTAACGACATGATGGCAGTAGGTTTTAATAAAAAGGACATTAACTGCCAGTTTACATTAAGCAAGTTTATGATATGAGACGACAAACAGTCTGCTAAGAAATGCTTTCAAGCATTTATTTCGAAATAACAAAAAACTAACGGAAGGAGTACCACATAGGACATAGGAAAATTAAGTGGAAAAGACAGTGTCAATAATAACCCCCTTTCTACCGCACAAAACATAGCCCTCTTACCGCACGGGAAAACGCACATATGCACGCACAACACAAATTTGATTACATTCAAATTATCCTACACGGCGATGGGAAAAAAGGATCCTCGCACGGGATTCCCATACATTTGCATGTGAAATACACATACAAATGGAGTTTTGTAGTTTTACGAGTTGCAATCTGACGTTTTCGTTTTGGGACATCATTACTGACAACTCACAATTTCGATGTTATGTTTGTTCACCATCATCCTCAATTTTGTGATGAGTCAGTCAGTCCGTTGAATTTTGAGGATTATTTTGAAGTATAAACATTATTCCAACATTAAATTAGCATATGATGTGAATATCATCAGTTGAATGATTTGAAGTATTTTTTTTTAATTTTCTCAAAATCTTCCTTAACGTGGGAAATAAAAAATCCGGTTTTCAATGAATTATGTTTACATTAAATTTGGTTTAAAATCCTCTTAAGATCATTAGGAATAAAGTCTCCTAATGAAATTCATGTTTTGAGTTGAGAAATTGGAAAGGAAAATAAGCGACTATTTTCTTTTTTATAAGTTCTTGAATAAAAATTGGATTCATTTTTTTGAATTTTCTTGAATAGAAATTGGATTCATTTTCCAGAAAAATAGTTATTAGTGATGGAATTGGAGCGTGATAGTGTGATTTCTTTATATTTGGCTGGAAAACAAAAAGTGGCTATCGTTAGAGCACTCCGGCATTTAAATGTGAATAAATCTTTTGTGTCTCGTACCATCGCTCGTTACCGTGATACTGGTAGCGTAGCCCGACGTCAAGGAAGTGGATGGAAGAAAACAGCAAAATCAACAGAAATGGAACCAAACCCGCGTCGCAGTGGCCGAAAAATGGCTTGTGAGCTGAACATATGGTTATATACTATCCGGCAAATATTGAAAAATGAGCTCGAGGTAAAGCCATTGAAATTCCAAAAAGTGCAAGAACTTAAGAAGCTAAAGAGTTGCTTCGCTTGGCCGAAAGGGTGAACCGCCAATTTGGTTTTCTCCGATGAGAAAACATTCGTTGTAAATAAACAAAATGACCTGAAAATGTGCACCTTCGGTTGGCTACCAGAATTCAAGCAAGCCATGGTGATGGCGTGGGCCGCCAAAGAGCCGATGTCGCTTACCCGCTCGTATTCATTCAAATACTTTCGCGAAAATATTCTGAAGGGTGTATTTATGTCTTGGGCGCGCAAACATTTTGGCAGCAGACCTTGGACATTCCTATAGGAACACTATCAGACTCTGCATGCGCCGCCCAAGAATGTTTAAAAAATGAGGTTCCTCGCTTCATTTACAGCTCACAATGGCCACCAAAATCTCCGTATACCAATCTGTTGGACTATTGTGTCTGGAGTATTTTGGAAAGTAAGGTTGGCACTAAACAATACCAAAGTGTCAATCACCCAAAGCAAGCGCTACGCCGGAAATGGGCCAAAATAACCCAGAGCAACATTCGGGTAGCGTGCGACTGTTTCGTTGGCCTTTTGAAGGCCATAATTCGTGCCCAAGGTGACCAATTCGAACAAATTTGAACTTATTACAAATTTTGTTTCTATTTCCGGCATTTTTTGCTTTCATTCAATAAAATGTAAAAATTATGGCGCTTGACTTTGTTGCGGTTTTTTTTATCTCACCCTGTATATGTAATATGGGCTTAAATTGAATAGAGTTTTCCATATTCAACCGAATTTTACGATTTGGTGAAACTCTGTCGGGTATATATTTTGCTACAATAAATATTTTTTATACCTTCCACCATAGTATGGAGGATATATTAAGTTTGTCATTCCGTTTGTAACACATCGAAATATACATTTTGGATCCCACAAAGCACATATGTTTTTGATCAGCATAAAGTTCTATGTCGATTTAGCGATGTCCGTCCGCCTGTGGAAATCATTGCAGCTTCCGAACGAAATTAAGTAGGTGGATAAAATTTTACTCAAATGTATATTATGTCTGCGGTACTTTTGGTATTAAAAATGGGCCATGTAGGCCCACGTTTAGGTATAGCCCCAAATATTAGTACCTCCAGACTTTCGGTATTTTCGTGATTTTAACGACATTATTTACCGAAATTGTTTCAAATTTGGTATTTGAAGTTCCAAAGCCAGCCTAAGACAGAAAATTGTCTGTGCAGGTCCACGTCTTCGTATGACCCCATATAACGGTACGTCCCGATATTCGGTATTTTGATAATTTTAGCGACACTATTTACCGGAATTGTTTCCAATTTGGTATTTGTAGTTCGTAAAGAATACTACAGCCTATGACGGAAAATTGTCTGTGCAGGTCCAGGTCTTCGTATAGGCCCCATATATCGGAACCTCCCTTTATTCGGTATTTTGACGATTTTAGGTATTCGTATTTGAACTTCGTAATGGATGCTACAGCCTGTGACAGAAAACTGTCTATGCAGGTCCAGGTCTTCGTATAGCTCTGATCAATGGAATCTCCCTATACACGGTATTTTAATTATTTTAACTACATTATTTTCATGCCTATGTATGTCGATGTATTCGCTATTTTTAACCGATTTTAATAGATTTTTTAACGGATTTTATTTTTTGAAAATTTCCTAATTCGTTCCCAATGGTAGAGGATATCCAAAGTTCGGCCCGGCCGAACTTATTGCTTTTAACTTGTTTTTATTGAAAATGAGCCATGCAGATCCACGCCTTCGTATAGCCGCCATATAACAGAACGTCCCGATATTTGGTATTTTGATGATATTAGCGACATCATTCACAGGAATTGTTTCAAATTTGGTATTTGAAGTTCGTACTGAATACTACAGTCTATGACAGAAATTTGCCTGTGCAGGTCCACGCCTTCGTTAAGCCCCCTATATAAAGGTACCTCTCGATTTTCGGTATTTTAATGATTTTAGCCCGTCTTTCACCGATTTTTTAAGTTTCGAATTTGAATATTGTAATGGCTTATGACAAAAGTTGCCTATGCAGGCCCACGTCGTCGTATAAACCTATAACGGCTACATTCGTTATTTTTAAAATTTTAACAAAAATTTTAACGGATTTTTTTTTTGAAAATTTCCAAATTCATTCTAAATAGTGGAGGGTATTCAAAGTTCGGCCCGGTAGAACTTAAAGTTTTTTTTTTTATTTGTTAATATAATCCTTTAGTAAAATGTTTTGCTACGTTTTCGCTATTAAATGCGCTTAGTGGTGTAGGGTATCATATAGACGGTTCGTGTTACAAAACGATAAAATAAATCATACCCTTATGTTATAATATAAGATTATATATTATAAGACAAATAATAAGACAAAGACAAATAATGATTCCGTTTTGAACATTTTATTTTTTTATTTTTATTTTATAAAAATTTTCTTAATAAAAACAAATATTTTTCTTCGTAAAATATATATAAACCATTTTCCCAAAAAAAAATATAAAATTATAACTAAATGTCTTCTTAAAAATTAATTTTTCAAATAAGTCGTATGTTTGTTTGTCTTCCTTAAAAAATAAAATTATTTAAACAAATATAATTAATCTCTAATCTTGGTATACAATTTGGTTTGTTTGTTTGTGTTTTGCTTTGGATAACTAACTTTGTATGTGAAATATATATACAAGAAATTCTTAAAATTTTCAAATTACAAAAAAAAAAAAAAAAAAGAAAAAATTTACAATACTTCCGATTTGGGTGTGTGGGCCTCCCACCAATCAATGCTTTCGATCATGCTCTCATCGGACATGACATTGGCATTGTGAGCCACATCCAAGAGATCCTCGTCGAATTCTTTTTTCAATTGCATGAGGCTGGGATAGAAATTATTTTGATTTGATGCGTTGTTGTTGGTGTGGCCAAAGAATTGCGGTAATGCCATGGAATTGGGTGTTTGTCTGTCCAGTGGCGGTGACATGGCCATGGAGTGGGATGGTGCTGGCATATAAAGTTGTTGGTTTTGCTGATGTTGCATTTGAGGAGATCTCTGTTGATTTGAATAGATAATTGCTGGCTCTTCATATTCCTGTTTAATTAGGTGTGTCTCCAAGACTTGTGGCGGGTTAACGGCACACGTTTGCCGTAAGTCATGCATTTCTTGTTGGTGGTGTTGTTGGCTCGCGGAGTTGGCAGGTGCTGCCGTTTGTAATAGCGGTTGATGTTCATTATTAACTGCACTTCCAGCTGTGTTGGGGGTTGTTGTTAACATGTTATTCATTTGTTGTTGCTGCTGCTGTTGTTGTTGTTGTTGGTGCTGTGGCACGGGCGATAGTCTTGAAGATGATGGCAAAGAAGCCGTCGATAACAAACTCACTGACCCCTTCGTATTTGCTAAGGAAGACGTTGCAACAGGTGCTGCTTCCGTTCTGACCATGCCTGTGTTTGGGCTAATTGTACGTGGCGAAGAAGACGTATTGACATCAGCTGTAACGTGTGCCGCTGACATCGATGTTGTTGTTGTAGTTGTTGGCGGTGATGACATATTCGCTGGTGTTGTGGCCGGAGACCCGGCCGATGTTGGACTGTTGCAATTAGTGTCAATTAAGGCCTGGAAATGTTCCTCATCAACGGTCGAGGATGGCGGGGAGGCGGCATTGCCAACAAATATGTCTGGGGTCAATAATTGATAGGTATTTGTCCCTGGAATTCTGATGTATTGCAGACCATTCAAGGTGGTAATATTTGGTAGGCTATCCATTTGTGTGTTTGGTGTTGGACTATTGCAGTTGGGTGGTAGAGAAGCGGCTGTGGAAGTATTCGCTTGATGGGCAAAATAATCCTCGGAATCATAATGGCTCAGAGAGTCCTCATAGTGGTCATCCATACTCGGCGAATAGGCATCGAATTCATCCTTGATCATGGAAAAGCTATCCTCCCCGCTGGAAGAGGTGGAATGCAAGGCGGTTCCGGTGGGAAAATCAAAACCCAAAAGCCTTTCCAAGGAGCGTATATATTCCACAGCCATGCGCAAGGTTTCTACTTTACTTAACTTTTTGCCGTTATTTTTACAGGAACTTTGGGCCTCGAAGGCCTCGGCCACCTCCTCGGGGATACGTTCTCGGAGAGCAGCAAATCCATTGTTAACCTGCTTAACACGATTACGTTCGCGGGCATTGCGTCGAGCCACGGCCTGAGGCAGTGGTAGGCCTTTTCTTCCCGGTGTACCGGGAATTTTAATGGGTAATCCAGTGGGTGTGAGGGGAGAACCATTTGCCAAGGCAGCATTTTCCTTGGCTGCCTTTTTGGCCAATCTCAGGGCGGTTCTTTCCTCTTTACTTAACTTGGGTTTTTTGCTGGCTGTTAGAGGGGTTTTCTTTTCCTTGCGTGTCGCCGGTTTATTTTCTTCATTGCCATTGTTGTTGTTGTTGCTGTTTTCACTGAGCGGTATTTTCCGTGAATTACAACTCAAATTCAGGGAGTTAACACTGCCCGCTCCATTGACCGTTCCAATCATTCCAAAATCCTTAATTTTTCTCACAATTGCATTGGGATTACCCTGGGCAATATTCAGGGCATTCGAATTATTTTCACTCAAAACATTTTGAACTGTGATTTTATTAAAGGCCTTATTGGCCGCCATTGGCAGCGGAGAGCTGTTGCCATTGCCATTCATGGCTGATCCTGTCGGATTATTGTTGTTGTTATTCACTTTCATGGTTAATCCTGGTGGCAAATTGTAATTCAAAACACCCAAGGTGGCCATCGGATGGAAGGCGAAGCTTTTCATTAAAAAAGCTTCTCAGGTGCGGAAGGGGATTCGAAACTATGCTTTGCTTGATTATGTTTGGCTTTTCGGAATTTTCCCGCTTCACGATGTTGTCACTCGAAGTTGTGCCGTTCAACTGACTGCTGGTGTGTCATGTAATTTTACAGGAGTTTTCTTTTCAAAGGAAAATAGCTGCGGCTGTCTATCCGCTGGTGGTATAGCAGCTGCGTTGTGGTGTGTCGCGTGCCCGATGTCTCGCAATGAAATGTCATGGGGCGTCTCTTGCAACAAACGTCCTACCAACGGAAATGACTTCAGAATGTTGTATGTCTGACTGGCTGGCAATAGCCAAACAATGAAGCGAAACAAACGCTGCAGCAGAGACACACAACAATAAATTCCTCTCCATAAAGCATACCTTTTGTGTAATATATCACCGGTACCCAGGCGCAGGGCGCAGACGCAGCCGCAACATTTAAGAGCAGAGCTGGCCGCAGCAGCATTCAACTATTCAACCAACAACAGAAAAAACACCACTTCATTCTTATTGTCTACTCTCAGCTTGGTACCCGGCTCCCGACTCTGCTCTCCCCCCGGAAAGGTGGTTTATTACTCACACACAGTTACCCATGCCAATGTACACACACACACAGAGACTTAATGCCGGCATGCAAATGTATTGGTATGCACTTTGACTTTTCATCCCTTAGGCGTTCGTCATTCTTTTTGGGTGTTACAGTCTGTGCCTGTGATCGCCTTTGTCGTTTCCCCATACCTCTCTTCGTCTGCAGCAAGCGTTTTGGGAAAACTAACATCTGATCCTGTCATTTAAGGGTGGTTCGGATTTTGTCATGGTATTGGTAGATCCTGGCGCTGACAATTTTTAATGTGTTATAATATTGCGCCTTTTTTGGGGAGGCAACAGCAGCAGCAGAGCTGTCCTTTTGCAAAAGTGTTTGTACCGAATGGATTTGTTTTTGTATTGGTATTTATCGCTTGAAGTGATTTGTATGAAACCCATCACCGGCAGAGCATTAAGGTAGATAGATGGTAAGGCGGCACGTACTTTCCGCTCTCCCTCAGTTCATAACTGATAAGATCGATTTTGGTTTCAGTTAGGATTTAAATCCAACTGCAGCAGGAGAAAAAGAAGCAACTGAAATGATGATTTTATATTGGATTAATTAGATAACGAAGGACAGCAGTCTTTGGAAGACAAGGAATTCTAGCACTATTTTTAATATATTCACATATCTGGATCCGTAATGAAACCGCAGAAGAACGGAAACATTTAAGTTTCTGAAAAATTTTACAAAGGTCTGCTATATCTCGATTTGTTTCGTTATGTAGGGGCCAAAATCGACAAATAAGTTCTTATATTCAAACAAATTTTAGTGACCAAAAAAACAACCGTTTTTGTACGGCATCTTATAAAAATAAGTATTTTTGCTGGGTAATACACGGACAAATCTAAATCTGATTCTAATGTCTGGCAAAACCTTGGAATCTGGTTTAGATTTGTATATCGAATATATGAAAATGATTATTCGAGATATAAGACAGAATTTATTTTCGAGTCCGACCTGAGTGGACTATTTGGTGGTTTATGCTTGTTCGAACCTTATAACTTTTATGGGGTGGGTATCAATCTGTCTGTCCGTCTGTTGTAATCACGCTGTCTTTCGAACGAATTGATATAGAATGCGAAGATTTTGCACACATGAGTACAGGGTGAGATAAAAAACTGCAACAAAGTCAAACGCCAAACAAAGTTCTGTCGGGCCGAACTTGAATACCCTCCATCATGTGGTACAAATTTGGCATTTTTCAAAAAAGTAAAACCCATCAAAAATTCAATTAAAATCTTAAAAATACCGAATGTAGCCCTATATTAGGGTCTATACGACGACGTGGGCCTGCATACGCAACTTTTGTCATAAGCGTGCACAGACAATTTTCTGGCATAGGCTGTAGTATCCACTACGAACTTCAAATACAAAATTTAAAATAATGTCGCTAAAATCATCAAAATACCGAATATCGGGAGGTACCGTTATATGGGGGCTATACGAAGCTGTGGACATACATGGCCCATTTTCAATTCCAAAAGTCCTGCAGGCGTAATACACATCTGAGTAAATTTTTATCAACTTACTTCATTTCGTTCGGAAGCTAGAGTGATTTCCACAGGCGGACAGACGGATAGACGGACGGACATTGTTAAATCGACATAGAATTGTATGCTGATCAAGCATATATATACTTTGTGGGGTCTAAAAAGTATATTTCGAGGTGTTACAAATGGAATGAAGAACTTAATATACCCTCCATACTATGGTGGAGGGTATAAAAATGTCGGAAATAGCATCAAATTTTAGAATAAGTTTAGATTTGTTCGAATTGGTCAACTTTGGCACTAATTATGGCCTTCAAACGGCCAATGAAACCGTCACACGCTGCCCGAATGCTCTGTGGTATTTTGGCCCATTCCCGGCGAAGCGCTGGTTTGAGGTGATCGTCTCTTTGGTGTATTTTAGTGCCGACCTTGCTTTCCAAAATACTCCAGACACAAAAGTTCAACGGATTGGAATCCGTAGATTTTGGTAGCCATTGCGCGCTAGAAATTAAGTGAGGAACCTCATTTTGTAACCATTCTTGGGTGGTGCGTGCTGAGTGCAATGGTGCTGAGTCATATTGGAATGTGCAGGGTCTGCGGCCAAAATGTTTGCGTGCCCAAGGCTTTAATACACCCTCCAGAATATTTTCGCGATAATATTTGGCATTGATTCTAATGCCACGGTCGATTAATACAAGCGGAGAGTGACCATGGGCTGTTATGGTGGCCCACACCATCACTATGGACGGCGCTTGAGTTCTGGTGGACAACCGAAGGTGCACATTTTCAGCTGACCTCTTTGGCAAGTAAACACTATCATTTTGTTTGCTTACAAACTGCTAGACAACGAATGTTTTCTCATCGGAGAATACCGAATTCGGCAGTTCACCACTTTCGGCCCAGCGAAGTAACTCTTTAGCTCTTTTGAGTCTATTTTCTTTCTGTTGCGGTGTAAATTCTTGCACTTTTTGGATTTTCAATGGCTTTACCCCGAGCTCATTTTTCAATATTTGCCGAATAGAATGTTGCGATATCTTCAGCTCACGAGCCATTTTTCGGCCACTGCGACGCAGGTTTACTTTTCGCATCTTTACTTTTCGAACCATTTCTGCTAATGTTGCTGTTTTCTTCCGTCCACATCCTTGACGTCGGGCTACGCTACCAGTATCACGGTAACGAGCGACGGATACGAGACACAAAAGATTTATTCACGTTTAAATGCTGGAGTGCTCTAACTATAGCCACTTGTGGTTTCCCAGGCAAATATAAAGAAATCACACTACCACGGTTGAATTCCATCACGAATAACTTTCTTTCAGAAAAATTCTGATCAAAATGCTTTTGTAGGCTTGTAAACAATATGTCACTGGAATAATATTAACAGCTGTCGGACGAGTGGCTAAGAAATGACAGCAGTCTGAAGTTGGTTGCAATTTTTTCATCTCACCCTGTATATACCCTTTTTAGCCATAGGGCTGAAGGTATAACAATCGAATATTGACTGAGAGTATACATTTATCAACTTAGCCGACTTATACTTTTTAACCTGTTTTCTTTAATTTCGATCTTTTGTGGGTACCAGAAGGACAGGACCGATATTGTGCCATTTCCGTACTAGATCTAAGTTTGAAAATAATATTACGATGTATATACCTAGTGTGGACCAAATCGGATGGACGGACGGACATCGCTAGATCGACTCCATATTTGGATTTGGTCCAAAGTGTCCTAGGGCCTAAAACCGTTATTTCGATGAGTCACGTTTTGGTCGTATAAAATGATATATAACCTCTCTAGCCATATGGCTGAGGGAAGAAAAAATGGAAACCGCTGCAGTTTGGTGTATCCCTGTGAATATCTCGAAAATGTAAGCAGTTATCGGAAAACTGAAAAAAGGGCATACCGAAAAAGCATCTATCATCTGTTTAGAAAGGCCAATAAAGGCGAATATAACACTTAAGCATTACATCGGCGATATGGTCAAGCCCCAAAATTTTAAGGTTTTTAGAAAAATAAGTCACAAGTAAGAAAAAATCTGCTGATTTAATATTTTGTATTATTTAAAAGTCCTTCAGTTATCACCCAAAATGCTAAGTTTATGTCCCTATTTCAGTTCCAATAGTTTATGATCATACTAAAAATAAATTGAAATCTTTATACAACTCATTGGGAGACGGCTTACAAAAAATACGCATGTACTTGACGTATCTGAAGATCTCCTTACATCATTATCATGAATTTATAATATCTTCTTAAAATAAGAGTTGTTAGATTCATATTGTTTATATGAATTTAATTCAGACTTTGGAATTATAACCCTATAAGCAATTCGCACCTTCTACTGGCTTTGGGAGTCATACCCCTGCAACTGCTTTGCACAGCTGAAATACAAGTAGGTGAATTGCATTTCTTTACAAACAGACTTCTTTCATGCTCTTACAAAACTTAGGGGGAGTTTTTAACTTTGCAAACCAAAAAAATAAAAGCGACAATTCCTTTAATTTGAACGTGAATCGTAAAAAAATCCAAATCGACATTATGATTTCTTTTCACACAAAGTTTCGCCTGTTTCCGGAAAAAAACATAAAAAAAACAAGTCTTTATCAAAAGACGAAATAAATAAAAGAAACACCAAACAATATCAGACGACAAGTTCCTTTTGCACAATTAAAACAAAAAAATGATGAAAACCCCATTGGAATTTACCTGTTTTACGCTATTGTCATCGAGTAAATTCACTTTGTTTGCAAAGAACAAAGATCAAATAATGAAAAAAACCCCTTTACTATTCAATTAAATGAAACCAGCTTCTTTGCTCTGCCTCTACCCTCCTTGACTGTTGTTTTCTCATTTTAGAACATTATAATTTTTCAAAGGGAATTTCGCTCAATTGCTACACCCCTTTTTTCGCCCTAAAGCCACGAATACCAACCAGCCAAGAGACGACAAAAGCGTTTGACACAACGCAACAAAACCTCTCCAAGAAGCAGAAATGTCAAAAAAGGACGTTACCAAGTCAGAGCGTCGAAAAACAATGCCGAACTTTGCAGCACATACTTTTAAGGACACTAAAGCAGAATTAACCTTACAGGACAATAAGGATATTTTTCGCTCTGCTCTTGTTGGAAATAACTTGCAATTGTTGAGCCGAAGAAGAAAACATATGGTTGCTTGA